TGGAGGTGCGTATAGATGACTATGTGTATGCCTGTCGTTCTAAAACAATGGTAGTCGGAGCTATGGCAATTCCAAGCTTTGTTCCTTACCACAATTTTTCCTATCCTTGCATAGTTGGGAGTGTGGTTTGGGTGGTTCGCTAAGACAAAACGCGACTTTTCCGCTTTTAGCAACATAGCTGTTTTTGTTGCGAGAACGCTGATCTACCTCCTGGTTATGAGTAGGCCTGAGGTTCTAGCAGGAAAGAAGGCTCGCGCTGCGAAAAACGGAAAAGTCGCTTTCTGTCCCAGCGAGTCACATTCGTGTGGTTTATGCATTAGTAGTAGTCAGGGTTGTTAGTACTTGCGCATATCTTGTGCTAAGTGTTTTAAATTGAATTTTCAGACTCCTCCAACTCTTACTCGAATTTTGACGCTGCTGTTTATGCAGCTGCATCATCTTACCTGCACTCAAAAGCAACAGGAACTACGAATGCCTGGATGAGTAAAAAGCCTGGTTCGTCGATTTTCTCCTTGAAAAATGGAGAAAACTAATCAGGGCCTGATATGAAGTTTGAAGGACCCGTTCCTCAGTGTGTTTTTTTCCTACCCACTTGCGTATGACCATTCTTTGATGAAGGTTGTGTTCATAGTTTGCTAACATGCACCACTTTTGCAAAACCTGCGTATCGGTTTCAGTGCGCCCTACTCTGATCCAAATTTTACTTTGTGTAAAGTGCTGTTGCGTTCGTTCACCTCTTCCATACATCCATGTGCGTCTATTACATTCATTCAAATTGAGGTTCTGTGAGCAGTGCTTTCGCCGGAGCAACTAATAGTAGAATACTCAGCAACTCTCCTCAAGCGTAAAGTCAACTTCACTGACTTCAACTACTCAGAAACACAATTCTATTAGCTGGCAATCTTCATCCTCCTTACGAGGAAAATCTCATTTGCCGATAGATTTTTCTGCGATGCCCGTTGAAATCAGGCGGCAACGCCGCCATTGTCAGCTACTATGGTAAAAGGCTGCTGTTACATCTAGCGACCACAGACGTACAGCTGCGAGGGTTTTCTTCTGAAATTCGACATATTGTGCTGAATCCCTTCTTGTTTCAGTTTTTGTCCCCTAAATTTTACTCTGCCTGTTTGCATTTGCTTGAAGTGGCTATAAGAATATGTTAAATGCCGAGAGGCTAAATGAAGGGGCTAAATCCAAGACTTTAAATGTAATACTTTCTACTATCCTATTGTAGTTCCCTACCATTTGTCTGGCTTGTAAATTTCAGAAAGTATTATTTAAAGGCTGCAGGAGTGTCTTTCTAATTTCTTTTCTACGTTGACCCTACTCGCAATCTCACATGACCGTTTTTTTGTGTTCGAACCTGGTTCAGGCTCTGGTGGTGTTACGTTTTGAAAGATTGCCTAAGGCTACGCTTTCGCTCAAAAATGATGAGCATTTTGGTCCAACGTGCATAGTTAGTCTTTATTATGCCTTATCAACTCATGAAATTTCTTAAATCATTATATTGATCAGATTGAGAGTATTCGGCTCCGCGACTTTTTCACACTTAAGAGCGTGGATACTGCAAGCATGACGGGTTGGTTGTGCGCATAGTTCACGCTTCCTTTGAAGGCCTCAAAACGGCCGCCCGCAACAGCGGGAGCACTACTGACTCGTTCACGCTCGCCATGGCCACACCTATAGGTGTGAAAAAGTCACGGAGCCAGTGTTCCATCTTATCAACTTCTTCCAAGGCATAAATATTTTACTACGAAGTAGCGAGGGAGTCGGTTCCATTACTTTTTCTAGTTGAAGTGTTGCTGCGGCGGTGCGGATGAGAGCAGACTGGCGAGCCGAGTTGAGCTCCTCGGCTCATCTTGCTCTCTCGCCCCAGTTCCCAGATCACGGCGAGGCACTGGCGAGTTTGCTCTCGTCCGCGCCGCCGCAGCCTTTAGGTGTGAAAGGTTTTCAACTTAACACGAGAAAAGGCAAACCCCAGGCATTTGTTTCAATAGCTCCTGGTCAATCTATAATTGATTACTGCAACAGCCAGAACATTGCCTGTTGAACACTGCTCTGAGAAAGATCACGTTAAAAAGTACATTTTTTAGTGCTGAGGTGCTGAGGGTTTCCGTTGCTTGGTTTATTGTTTAAAAATATTTTTTTAGCTGGCGGTGGGCGAGGTGGTGGCTTCGCCAATAAACGTTTCGGTGCGGGAGGTGGAGCACAGAGAGAGGCGCAGCAGTTTTACTGCGAGGTAATATTTTTTATTATTCTCACAAAAACGTTCGTTCGAATGCCTGGTCGATATCATTCGCTGTTTTTTCATTACGAGATCATTTAGGTGTGCAAAATATCATGTGCAGGCCAGCTTACCTACAAGGAACACTTGGAGGGGCAGCGTCACAAGAAGAAAGAAGCACTGGCGAAGGGAGAGAACAACCCAAGTTTGCCTAAAAGCAAGGTAGCTCTTGTTGCGGAAATCTTTTACTGTTATAGTTCTGCAGTAAAGCATGAGCGTACAACCATACACTTTCTATTTGTAGGTGTCTTTCCGCTGTGATCTCTGCAACGTCACTTGTACCGGACAAGATACGTATAATGCCCACGTTCGCGGTGCCAAGCATCAGAAAACATTGACTCTTTGTAAAAAGCTGGGTAAACCCATTCCGTCTACGGAGCCTACCATTATTCCACCGTCAGAGATGGGTGGTGTCATCCCTCCACCTCCAAGTACCTCCACAGCAACACCAGCTTCGACTGCTAACGCTGCAGCGAAAAGGGTTGGTTGTGTTTTTCTTGTGTTTTAAGCTTAGAATGTGTGAATCCTTGAGAATGAAGAAGCTGTACAAGAAAATGATTTTTAGGTGGTGGGAATCTCTACTGTTAATTTTGTTGGAGGGACAAAACTGTCGTCGACAGCTGGACAACTTGAAGCAAAAAAGCAGCAAGTTATGCAAGCGGTGGGTAGTGCTGGTGTGAAACCTGCCGAAGAACCTACATCGCAGGCAATTAAGGGACAAACGGAAGAGCTTCAGGTGTCATTAATCGCGGATTTCACGTTTTTGGGTTTTATATGATCTCAATATCTTAGGCTCTTATCGCTGCTGAGCAAAGCTTGAAGCCAGTTGGTGAAGAGTTTGTGGAAGCGCAACGTGACGCAACTGGTAAGCTCCTGCAGTACCTCTGCAAGCTGTGTGATTGCAAGTTCAGTGATCCTAATGCGAAAGAAATTCATCTCAAAGGGCGAAGACATCGGCTACAGTACAAAATGAAGGTAAATTGGTGGCAAAGTTGATATCTGTGTAGTTGAGTTCTGTAGTATTCATGTTGTAGGTTCATGATTGTTACTTTGTTAAGGTCGATCCAAATCTGGAAGTTGAAGTCAAGCAGGCAGCCAATCGAAGAGGAGCCAAGTATGAACGTGGACGTGGTCCTATGGGAGTTATGTTGCCTCGTGGCGGTCCTTTGCCTCCTCCTGCAGGGTAATCAACTACATTTTCTTGAATATATTCAAGTGCATAACCCACTTTGAGCGCGCGGTTTGGGTTGTCGGGATCGATAGCTCCAACCGCTCGTTCCAAGCTACCTGCTGACTTGTGGTTGCGCTGTCAAAATGAAACTGTAGAATGCCTCATGACCAGTTCGCGCAACACATGTTGAGCGGACGGTGTTTAGCCGGAAAACGGTGTATCGAGCACCATAGTTGGTCCACGTACTTTGTTTCCAAGCGGTGGTGCAGCAGCGATGGTACCGTTTGGTCTCTTTTGGCGAGGAGAATTGCTTCTAGCTTCCATTGGTCTTCAGGCCCTTTAGTTGGTTGTTTTAGTGTGCCTTTACCCCGCAGTATTGGACCATTCGCACCAGGAGGGCCTGGCATGCGTGGTCCATGGTTCGGCAATGGTCCAATAGATGGCAGGCGGTTCGAAAGTACCGACGATCGTCACGTTCAGGTGATTGAGGCTTTTTTCGTTTTGTCTGCCAGTAGTTTGTTGAGGTGTTATTTCTTTTCTAGCCATAAAATCAAATTTAGGCGAAACATACCTCTATCTATCCAAATGACGAGCAACTCACTGTCATTGAAAGTCTTGTTACCGAGACAGAAAAAGCACTGAAGAAAGTGTCAGATTACTTTAACGAGCGGTATGCTGCATCCTTGAGGTTTTATTTTTTTACGAGCTCGACTTCTCAGGTGTTCGGTAACAGAATCTTTTATAGTGACCAGCCTGAAACTAAGCCGCTGATCAAAGCAGCCTCTGAAGAAGGAGAAAAAGTCAAAGAAGCTGCTACACCGGAGAAGGACCGTCTTTTAAAAGGAGTGATGCGAGTTGGGATGCTATCAAAGGGATTACTGCTCAAGGATGATACGGAGGTAAGGTCGTTTTCTGAGCCAGAAACACTATTCAGTAAAAACATGTAATTGCCGTATGTTTAGGTCCATTTAGTCGTGTTGTGCTCTCGCATTCCTGGCGTGGCACTATTGAAAGAGGTTGCATCTCTAATTCCGCTTCATTATGAGGTTTGTCAGTAGAAAGTATGATTGTTCTCAGCCTTTCTCAGTCAATCCATTCTCTTCCTAAACTTGCTTACCAAAGCTAATTTTTAATACACTCTATCGATAGATGATTATGATTTAGAAACCCGAGGGCTCTACTGTCGAAATATCCTTGGAAGAATCGACCGCATCCATGATTCTGCGACAGAGTTCAGTACCGATGCAGTGTAGAATTACACTAACATCTCGCGAATTCAGAGAAGATGCAGCAGGAGGTTAGATTAATCCATGGGTATTTTCTTTCATTCACGGTCTCCGTTTTGAATCGCAATGGTTTCAGGGTTAGTGATTCTCTCTGTGTTTGTAGTGTAACCCATTGTTTTGTGTTGTTGCAGTGTCGTTTTTGTGGCTAATCTAACTAATACGCAAAGTATCCCGGGGAACTGTAGCGCTTTAATGTTTACGCATTGAAGGCAATGTGCAGGATAGGTTGGTTGCTTATGTTGCTCAAATAAGCTCTATAGAAGTGGACAGCTAAGGCTCATCTATGCAGATATGTGGGATTTCGATCCGAAAGGCGCGCCTCGTATTTGATCTGGATACTTCGGAGTTGCAGCTCCTCCCTCTCTTCTTTATGTGTCAACGCGGCATGGGTTCTGCATTGGTGCTCATATCTCGTGTGTGATTTAGACAGCTTTTTTGACATTTTTTACTTACCATTTTCACTTACTGGTAAGCGGTATAGCAGATCCACATCCATTCTCATCAGCAAGACATCAGGTGCATATTGCCTTCAATTGCGTATTGACATGCAGCGTCATTAACATCCATGACAATTTGAAGATGTGCCAGTTGAGAATCTGCAGGATTACTTATTAATTTCAAAGCTTGGAAAAGGTGAAAAGAAAGCAGAACAAAACAGTTCTTTGCATTCACAATTGTGATCACGTTTCATAGGACAAGGCGAAATATAGGCAAGCGCTCAGTGGTTAGTATAATTTGATTTTTTTTTGGTGGGCTGAATGTTGGAAAAGTAGGAAGGGAACCGTGTAATAGTGGGACTCTTGCGGTATTGACGTGCAAGTTCAGTACTCCAGTTCGCTCTTCTGGGAGAAAAACTTATGTAGGTCTTTCTTAGTAAATAACCGTGGTTCTTTTCAACATCCACTTTTTCTTGTAACATGTCGAGCTTAATATTGATTGATGCTGAGCGTGTGGTTAGATTTTGTGTAAGAGTAGGCGTACCTGTGATATCAAAGGTTCTGGGATTCACAAAACTTGATCAATTTTCGGAATTAGGTATCCAAAGGAAGCCTGTGGTGTTTTTTCAGTTAATTCCACTTTTCTACTTTTGTAGCTGTAGATGCCTTTAAAACTGGTGTCTTATGCCTGCCGGCCACTTTCGTGAGTTATGGCGGCGGCAATGGATATTGAAAGCCCCCTGCAGGGCGGCTGGCTTTTTTCGTTTCCTCGTTTCTTTCCAGTGTTTATTGGAAGCGAGTGAAGGCTCCCGTACTGTGGCCAGCACATTGCGGAAGCGCGTAGTTCTGCCGGCTCTTAATTTACGATGTGAGTTGGCCGCTCTGCTGCCAAGCCTTCAATATCCTTACGTAGTTTCCCTTGACTAGGTTTGTAAGGTTTCGCCTATACTCTTCTAACTTACACTCAGCTGCTATTAGCATCTAGCTAGCACTCAGCTGCTATTAGCAGCATTGGAGACATGCACGGGAAGACGCTGTGCATTCATTGGGTCGCAACACGTTATGTGGTAGGCAAAATCAAAAGTGAATTACAACCGAGCAAATTTACTTCTTTCCAGTACCTGATGTTCTCTTGATCAGTTCGTTAGGTTGTGAAAGGATTGTATCTTTGTTCACATTGTGATTCATTATTGTATACGGCCATGTGAATTGTCGTGGATGAGGCACAGTAAATGCACTGCATCACGTCGCGCATTCATAAACGCCGAGTATAGACGCAACACCAGTACAGTTGTCCAGAAACGGTTGTAAGTTGAAGGGACCCAGAAGCTTTCCTGATTTCTTCTTACGTTTCTGTTCTCTTTCGCGTATTTTGATCACTTCTTTGAGAGGTGTACCTTCAGAAAATGTCTGTAGTTTTGGACGAAAATCGTGGCGTTACTTTGTCGAATGGTGTTTTTACACGATTTCGTAGTGTAACGTTACATTTTCGAACACGATGTCGGCGGTGATTACTCAACGGAATGTTATTCAACTGAGAATTGAGCAACGTTCTTTCGTTAAGAGTGCAGGGGAGTGAAAGATGGTCTACGAAGCGTTAGTCACTAGCTTTTCACCAGCGTCTAATATACGGTTTGCTAATTGTTGCTCAATTATTAACAATACAAATGAAATAAGAACAGGAGACGCTGGTTCAATATTTATTTACCTATTAGATTTTTCTACGAGTAATCGTAAATTATTTCCATGTGTTGAGACCATCTTTCATGTAGCGGGTTGCGTTTTACAGACGCAGCGCTTCTCCCGCCCCCTGGAGATGCTCTAGACAAAGAGGCTTGCCTCAAAGCACTGGCTCAGCTGCGCCACGCTAAGTGGTTCCAGGTTTGTTGCTCGTCACCTTTTTAAAACTCAACACTTACTGGCATTTTTGCTGAATGTCTTTACACCATAAATCGGTGACAAGCTAAACCTAGGGTCTCATATGTGAATAATTTCTGCCATATTTTGGCATAATCCCTGTTTGCTTTGTGTTTTTAAGAAATCGAAGACACGTTACATGGCGAGGGTCTTAATGTACTCAATCGAAAGGAGATCACATGACGCTTTAAGTAGTATTTTCAGCAAAAAGAATGGGTTTTTTCACATTATACCATGGAGAAGTAACAAGCCACAAAACACGCAAAAACTGTTACTCGGAAATGGGTTGGAAGTGAATTTCAAAATTTATACCCTCGTTCAGTGTGCTGCGAATGTAATAGTTTATAGCACACTCAGCAAACGCACATGTAACTCGAAATCAAAAAGCACACAATAAAGCTGGTCCGAAGCTGTGAATGGCAATCATTGGCGTTCCCGAAATTCTTACAAAGCGTAGAATTCTATTAAAGGAAGCAGTCACGATAAAATCATGGCAACGATAAGGAAAGCTATGTATCTGGACTGTGGTTAGACTAATATCAGAAACGAAAGTTTCACGGGGTGTGCAGTTGGATTTATACAATGAATGTAAGGATGCCCGTAATTAATCTATAGTAGTCAAGACCTAAGATTAGTCCGATGAAAGGGGTGCGATAAGAGCGTGCTAGATATGATACCGTTATCGTTATCGTCCCGTTTTCATTCTGGAGTGCACCTCTTATCAAGCAGCCGCACCTTCTTATCTCATCGTATCATATCTTCCATGGGCTTACACTCGTCCAACAATTACTGCCTCACACCTTATCGATTGATAACGCGAGGGTAGCAAATCCAGCGTGGAAGCCAGCGTGACTGCTTCCTTTAATAAGGCTTTTGAGTGGCTCGTTCAAGATCAAAACAAAGCGTGCAATGTATTGGAAATCGATGGAAGCATTTTGTGATCTGATGATTGTAACTATCGATGGAGGACTCTCGAGCGTTTTAGGCGAGAACTCATCATAATCCTATGTCATTGAGGATGAAAGTCTTGGCTCACTTCTGTTTCTCGGTACCGATCAACACCAATTCCAAACGAAGCGATGCCCGTGTTTAGCCTAGCTTTTTTCCAGCTTATAGATTTTTCTCCATGTTCCGAGCGTTTTTGTTGGATGGGCGATGAAGGAGTCTATAAAGAGGCAGCCTGGGCGACAACAAGCCAGAGTAACCATCGTGGAGAAAGGGTTAAAAAAAACGAAGAGAAGCAGTCTGCAACCGAGAAATGACGAGCGTTTAGTTTCGCACTGTTTGCGAGTTTATAGGCCGTATGCGTATGCTTCCGAAGCTAAGTGATCCAGTTTCTTAAAGTTATTTGTTTTGACTCGGATCTATAGTTCTTATTTACGCTGTGTTTTCTTTTACCTGCATCAATTACTTAATGTAGGCACCTAATAGGGCAAATCTAGCATGGAAGCACAGAAAATTTAAAGGACTTCGTCGTCCCCCAACCTTTGGGAGGATAGGCATTACTGGATCATAATTGGATGCATATTCACGCTGGACGCTCGGAAGCTTATGTCTGCTAAACGGCTAGGGTCGGATTGCTTGGGGCACCCTTCAGTGCGTGCGCATTGTGAGCGCTGTGGGTACGGCCCTACTAGGCGCTAGGGGCATACACTTATACCGTTGTATCCTTCTTCGAATCAAAGACTCGATATACAGTGATGATCCAAAGTCCTGGATCTGTTATCACATTGAAAATTCTATATATGAGCGGCACGGCTTAAGAGATCGCGCAGTACGTATTTACACGGTTGAGATGTAGAGTTGGCATGGCTGTTTTGATTGTGAAAAGAATCGATGTGTAGTTATTCTTCCGCTTCGTTGTATTTCTTAAAATTGCGGGCGTTCCTGAGTACATCTCGCCCCACTTTCAAAGCTATTCTAAGCATAACGTGGGTCTATAACAAACAGAAAATTTTAAACCATGCAGAAGCTGTGGAACTTCCATCGGCTGAGATGAGGAATGGTTGCGAATGCATCAAGTGAGGCTTGGCCCCGATTGATCCCATGGAGGTCGATTCCATCCATTCTAGCGGCCTGCAGTTTTCCTAATTCTCGACGTTCCTCATCGTTCCATAATATACGCCTCGGATCCACGAACTATCTTCCGGATTTGTTATGGATGAATCAACGAACAGTGAGCAATTCTTGAAGGCGCTGTAAGCCCGCAAACTCTTACAATCCCATCACGTAAGTTCTGGTAGGAATGAATTGAAATTTGTCCAACCCTTTAAATTGCATCGGACTGTGTTGTTAGCGCTTCCGTTAGAGGACCACTTAGTTTTTGTAAAGGAGATTAATTCTTAAAAAATCAAATGAATGACTTCACAGTTCTGGTCAGGCTCACTAGTAGCTCAAATTCTAAATCTAAGATGTGTACTACAGCAACACGCTATTTTTTGGTAATTAGGATTCGTGATCTTCTTTCTGTTGAGAACTCGACATAGCTTGATAATATTTCTGCTATTTCAATTACAGTCGTGGCCACGGGCGGCAATGCGGACGCATTATTTGATTAGTAAGCGAGTTCTTGTAAATCGGCATTTCATGTAACCTTATGCGGGCAGTTGCCATTTGCCATAGGTGCCCTTGCTTCAGCTGCTCTAATTTGTTTCAGTTAAGTCCACAGCTAAAACGTTCTGGATGCAGCTAGGCTGTCACTCTCTAATAGCTCCGGACGTTCCATGACGTCATACTCAGTGTTCTCATGATGCGTCCGCACTTCGTTCGTCGGCCACGATTTTTCTTTTTTGATAAAACTTATAAGTTTGATGGGCATTTTATCGACTACATTTGAATTGGAACATTGCGCTCAAGGCTCCGATCAACCCTATTCGGTGGTACATAGAATACCAACTTTTGTAACGGGAAAGGGAATAGGGAAAAAGGAAAGCAAGAGGGAATATTTTTGGCGCCTAGTGCTGCAGAAAGGGAGCGATTTAATGCGTGTCGTAATACCTGCCAAAGTCGCTTTGAGGGGGTAAAGGGTTAACACAGTAACACGTATACAAGTTTGTTCACTGTGTTACCTCTTTACCTGCGTCGGGACGACCTTGTTGCGTTCTTTACGTTGTCATAGAACCTGAAAGGCGAAAGCAGGGATTCTCCAATTGTTATTTTGTTGCGGTCTCGCGTCTTCCTGTTTGTTGGAGTTCTGAGATGGGTAGTGACCATTTGGATGGAAGGGGAGTACGGTTGAGGTCTGCAGAGCGCGAATTGAGTCTACCTTTTACATTTCTTGGGGTTGAATCACGGAAGCTGTCATATACGTATCGTGCACGACCGCAATCTTCCATGAAGGCGCGATAAGAAACCCTCGCACATGACGCTAGATGTAAGTGTTGAGTGGAACGCCAAATGGGGAGAAGTTTCTGTCAGAAATATCTTGCTCACGCATATCGAAGTTTTTGGTCGTGCTCTTGCTAGACCACATATTACTTGAAAAGTACATTTCATAAGTAATGATCTCTATAGCTCAAAATCCTTCTAGTGCTTTCAAGCGTGGGAATGATCGTGTACTTCTTTTCGTTTCGATCTCCTATCGGTGAAGCGTATGCTTAATTGAGATGATCCATGCAGTACAATCAAATCTGTATGAGCCAGAAAAAAACTATGATGTGATAAACATGTTGTCGATAAAATCCCCAGCAAGCTTGTTTTCAATTTCAGTCCTACTCTCAAGAAGTGGCAATTGAAATTCATTTTATCTATCTATATAGCTGAAGCATAATTTTATCTTCCAAACCAATTATTTTTACTTTTACATAACATAATTTTTTAAACCTCGTTTCACTGAGGTGGCTATCACTGATGTACGACTGAATGGATGTGAGTTCAGGCTAGATGTATCTACCTTCAATCCTGCCAGATTACGCTTCGTATCCTTCGTGATATTCGAGCAAGAATTGAATCATGGCGAACTCTCACGGACTGGGTTGGTCACTCATCTGAGTTTTTTCTTCTGTAAAATGCTAACAAAACGATGATCATACAATTATTAGATGTGCGAGCTACTCGTGGAGAAGGTGTTGTCATCGTGTTTGGCTCCTCTTTCTGTCGGCGAGTGCTGCTTTACGTCGCGTTTTTGAGGCAGTTGCAAGCGGTGTACTTCTTAAAAGTAAGTTCTCTTTTAATTAGAACAGTTCGCTTGTTAACTTCGTTTCTACACAATAAACTTGAAAATTTTATTCGAGAGTTCTTGGAGGTAATATATGACCAACTGAGCAAAATGACCATTCTTAAACACATTGACACAGCGACGCCGCCTGCGGATGAGTCTCGTTTTGCTTGTTTGGTATTTTTCATGTTTTAAAGGAATCTTCCACGGAAAAAGCTCCGCCCTCATTACCACAGAAAACGATACCTTAAAGGAATCTTCCACGGAAAGAGTGATCATTTTGTCTTGTGTGTATTAGTATTATCGAAACTAACGCTTATGTTCCGTTCTTTTTGCTATGCTCATGAGGCTAGGGGCCTAAGGGTATCGTTTTTCTGTGGTAATGGAGGCGGAGCTTTTTCCGCGGAAGATTCCTTTAAGCTGTCTATGGATTTTATCGCATCCGGGAACTAGCGCATTCATGATCAGTAAGAAATTATTGAATTGGTCCCGATGACTTTGTTGAATATCTATAAAACGATGTCGAGGCACACGCACAACAGGCTTTCGTCAATGTGTTAACCGAGTAGCAGGTATCTGTGTTTGTTGTTTTAGCTGGTCCAGGTATTGCCGATCCGTGTGAAAAGGAAGCGGTGGACGTTCTGGCGCCTCTTACCGGGCAGCAGAGGGAAGCGATCACTGCTAGTGCTCAGCATGCTCTTCGTCTAATAGCCTTTAACCAGCTTTACAAGGTAATTGGTTGCTCGAAACTTTTGTTGGACGTTAAACTTTTGTTGGCCGTTGACATTATTTTTGGTCCTTCAGGTGTTGGGATTGGAGCGTCTGCCTGATGTTCGCCCACCGCTTACTGACAGGAAACGACCAATGGACACTGCAAACGCTGTTGAAGGTGCGCGATTTACTTACTCGATACTTGGCCATTTGAGAGAATTTTGCTCTAACAAAGTAATGCTCCTAGCGCTCAAACATATATGGGTGCTATGTTCCCCAACAAACTTGTGGAACAAAAGCAGTTAAAAATCGGAAAATGATGGTGGTCTGGATGTACTTGTTGGAGTGTGCTATGTCGAGTCAGCCTTCGTATTTTGCGCTACCGTCAGTTTGAGATTCTGCACCGTCTGCGTTCACAATTAAGGGGATATTTTGAGGAAACCCCTCCCACAACCTTAGATCTTATATGACTCTTCTCTCCTCATTTTGTGGATGTTTCCAAAGGTTATAAATCTTTGTTTAATCCCTACACTCTAAACCAAGCCTATTCCACTTCCGAAGAAACACTGCCAACTGCACCCAATATAGCTCCCTCCTGCATAACTCCAAATTTGACCTTCTATTGTTGGCTCACCCTAGGCCCCGACCGAGTTTAGGGAGCGTTTTGGAGTGTCAGCTGTTTGCACATAACCGGAAGTGCATCAATTTAAACGTTTTGAGGGAAATCTTTCTTGTTTCAGAGGTGAAGAAAGACAAAAAGGAAGGAGAGAACGGAAACGCCGAAACTGCAAACACCGCTGTTTCGATTAAAATGGAAGTGTGACCTGGAATACCGATGATCCGTTGATGTTCTGTTTTTTTTTCTTGATTGGATTTGTTCTTAATTTATATTTGTTTCTAGTATAGAAGAACGGGGCGTTGCCTGAATGTTTAAGATTAAATCTGTCGTTGTCAGAGTTGATCGAGGTGAATGTAAGAGTAGTCCAATTGTATTTACTGTTGGTGTTGAAGTCTGTATTCGTTTACAAAATGTGAAGTACGGCGATCACTATTATTAATACTGTTAATGATGATGATGGTTGAAATGAAGTAAAGGTCCAAGTTTTTGATGTTTCGCGTATGCCGACTGAGGTTGAGGATTAGTCAGCTGCTGCCGGAGGGCCTGGGAGGTTATCGATCGAAGACGAGCAAGCGCACCCACTATGCAAGTGTATTCTTCTCGGAATCTTCTCATCAATTCATTCTTTGTCTCATTCTATTGGTCTTGAGAATCGAACTTTGGTCTTAAGGCTGTGAGCGTTAAGGTCAGGCTACAGATGTGAACGCATTAGGTTTTATTTGTCAGTTATTGAAACAGCAGTGAGGAATGGCTACGCGATATTCTTCGATTTGTCTTACTGAAATAATTAGCTATTGCGAAGGGATCGTTATATTTAATGATAATACGGCAGCACAGGGCTAATCGACGGCACGGGTCGAGTGGGTCAATAAGTTTGATTCCATAGTAATCTCAGCAGTGGTAAGTGCCATATTAATTGGGGCGGATCTCGATTTGATGGCTACATTTCTCAAATGTTAGCTGATCTATTTAAGTAAGCGTTTAGATATTCAGGCTGAATGAGGGGCGAACATTAGGTGCTGAAAGACCGTTATATGGAAAATAAGTCATTTTTTGACCACTTAAAAAATTTAGATAAATGCGGCACGCATTCTACTTCCATTTGTACATTCGTAGTGGCGTTTGAATGCGATGTGGCCTATACAATGACTTGCGGGGGCCAGCCGATGTTCAAGTCAGTGTTTTTTATCCTCCCAGACAAGTCTGGTACCAATTAACCGACCCCGGAGGGATGGAAGGCTTGGTTGGCCCGGGCGACTCACGACCCAGGATTTGATCCCGGACCGCTCGCGTGGTAAGCGCGCCACTTGCCACTACACCACTTCCGCCCTCTTCGAGAATACTTTTACTTTTACCTTTTACAGGAAAATATTGCCGCATGCATCAATATTGCTTTTGGGATTCTGTAGTAGTTTGTCTTGAAATTGAAGATGTTAAAAACAAGTTGAATCTGTCGTTTTTTTAGAGATGCACAGCGATTTAACTGGTTTGCTCTGAACGGGA